TGCTGGCAATGGCAGTCGGGGTCATGATATAAGTGGACTTTAAATGTCGAATGTGAAAGTAAAATCGAACTAATTGGGTCTTTTGTTAATGATATCGAGAGATTACATAATAAGGACAGCTAATGATTTTACTTATGAGAACCCGCTAGTATCAAAATCATTGCAATCAGTGGGATTTTAGTTTATATATAAGTACGCATGGAGCTATTAGAAATTCGTAGACTTGAATATAAAGAGAGTATTTTGTTCTCTTGTTGAAGTCATCTATGATCTCCAACAACTCATGAAATATTTCACCTGCAGTCTAGATGTAGGACTAATATTTTGGCCGTAGCCTCACAACTGTAGATTCGATTAGATTATATTTAGGCCAGTCATTGGGGATTTTTACCTGAAAAAAAGTCCGGAAGTTTTGAAACTTTGTAGGATTATAGTTTTGGGTGTCCAGAACTAGAATTCACAAAATGCACATTCCGGGACATGCCGCCGGCACCGCCATCATGCCAAGATGGCGCTCAAAAACGGTTTTTTGAAAATATCTCCAAAACGGTGCGTTTTTAGAAAAAATATGAGGACATAAAAATTTAAGATGAAGACAGTTTCTACAAGAAATGTTCCTAGTATATTTTTGCTGAAGTGAGCCGTTTAGGCCCAAAAGCTGATGGAATGACATCATATTCTGTTAATTTCAATAAACTGCCCCTAACTATCTCCAAATATGCGTATAAATTTATCTTTTATAATGAAACGGGCTATCTAATTGGTTTCTCGTTATATTTATAGCTTGCTGACAGAGGATATTTCCTATAAAATATGTTCCTAGAATATTCTCGCTAAAGTACCCTCGTTAAGGCACAAGTGCCCTTACCAAATTACAAATGTTGCGTAAGTTTTCTGTAGTGGCGAGTTTCGGAAATAATATGTGTATTAGGGGTCCCCAAATCTGATATTTAAGGACTTCAAAAATATTTATCACGAAACGGTGGATATCCATTATTCAATTTATCGATGAATTCATCAATTAATCCATGTTAATAATTTATGATCAATCAATTTCGATTTTAAATGCGCCAAATTTGAAAAACGAACCGCCCAAAAAATATCGCCCAATTTGTGTGATGTTATTATTCTTTCAAAGAGTCTAATGCAACTAATTTTTTTTGCTATTCATATGAGGTTTTTTTTTAAATAAGTAAATATCAGCACATCAAAATTACTCGACCTACGGTCTCGCAATTTTTTCATGTCCGTTTTTCTCGTAAAATTACTGATTGGCAAATTGTGTTCGTTAGGAAAGGTAATTTAGTTGATGAAAAAGTTCTTGTGTTTTTACCGTTTATAAAAATATCTCATCTGAAATATATATTTTGTATATTTACTCATATTGGAATGGAGTGGTAAAGACAAGAAAGCAAAATTTCAAATTTCTATGAATTTATGGGCGGTTTTACAGTACGAGAAGGTACCTATATCTACGGATACATAGTATAGGTATGAAATTTATTCATAACCATCCTGCACCCACATACTTCTGGAGCAAAGTCGCCAGATTCGTCGATAATGCAATTTTTATATCGTCCAAATAATCGCAAGTCACAAATGCAAAATTTTTGTCGCATAATAGATCTAAAAATCGTCCAATATAACGAGGAACGAATTGAATAGCCCATTTTATTATAAAATATGAATTTATACGCATATATGGAGATAGGGGCAGTTTATAGAAATTAACAGAATATGTTGTCATTCAATCAGCTCTTGAGCCTAAACGGCTCTCTTTAGCAGAAATGTGCTCAGAACATTTCTTGTAGAAAATTTCTTCATCTTAAATATTTATGTCTTCATATTTTTTCTAAAAACGCACCGTTTTGGAGATATTTTCAAAAAACCGTTTTTGAGCGCCATCTTGGCAAGATGGCGGCGCTGGCGGCATGTCCCGGAATGTGCATTTTGTGAATTTTAGTTCTGGACACCCAAAACTATAATCATACAAAGTTTCAAAACTTCAGGACTTTTTTCCAGGTAAGCCTTATTTTGGATTCCCAATGACTGAACTAATTAGAATGGGACCATCAGGCTATTTGTCTCCACACCGCGACTTTTTCAGATGTATTGTGTCTGCCCTCAAAATAGTTTAGAGATCCTAAGTTCAGTCATTGGGGATCGAAAATAGGGCTTACATGGAAATTAGTCCGGAAGTTTTGAAATTTTGCAGCTTTGTAGGTTTGGATGTCCAGTACTAAAATTCACAAAATGCACATTCTGAGACATGCCGCCGGCGCCACCATCTTGTTAAGATGGCACCCAAAAATAGATTTTTTCATTTATCTCCGAAACTGTGCGTTTTCCGGAAAAATATGTGAGGAAGAAAAATAAAGAGGAAACAATTTCCTTCAATAAATAATCGAAGCATACTCTTGCTAAAGTGAGCCGTTTAGGCTCAAGAGCTGATTGAATGAAAACAAATTCTGTTAATTTCAATAAACTGCCCCTAACTTTCTCCATATATCCTTATACAATAATATTTTATAATAAAACGGCCTATTCAATTGGTTTCTCGTTATTTTTATAACTTAGTGACTAGAGTGAATGTCATATATGAAATATGTTTCTAGTATATTTTTGCTAAAGTGAACGGATAAGGCACAAATGCCCTCGCAAAATTGAAAATTTTGCCTAAGCTTCCTGCAGAGGCGAATTTCGGGAATAATATGATTGTGTGTTAGGGGTCTCCAAATCCAATATCATAGTACATTATGGATATTTATCACGAAACAGTGACATATATTTTATTCAATGTATCCATTAATTTATCAATGAATCCATGTTGAAAATTTATGATCAACTAATTTGGATTTGAAATGCTATACTTGTTTCCTCACCACCCATGATGTAGGTAATGTACACGGCGCACTTTTTCAACGTGTTAGGCCACTTAGGTACTAATATTATTGTTGGCAAATGCCATCTTCAACAGGGAAATGGTTACCTCGGCTTCTGAATCGATGTTAATTTCCTTCAACTCGGACTCTCCTTCTGCAGTCGATAAAGCAGCGAATGGAGGTCTTCTAAATCGTCTAGTGTCACTTGGCTGATACTTTCACAAGTTTTCCCTTTGCATACACCGCAAATCATTGAACATCTCAAGCCTGCTCTCTTACATCCACAGGCTCTACCACAAGCCGCTTTGCAGTTACAAGATAGAAGAGAGAAATTATTAATGCTTTGAAAGCAGGATCTTTTGAAGTGGTTACTGGAGTGAGGCCATTTTTGTTTTCTTTCAACCCAATTAATCAACTAGATACTTTCGGACAGCTACGCCATAGTTGAACCTGATAATTATGATCCCAATGAATGCTGTCATGCGGCTGCACTTGTTGGTGGTAAGGATGCCAAATTAGCTTTTTGTTACCGATTTCACAAAACAGCACTGGTATCGATATTTATCAAAAATGATATAATTTGTGTTTTTGGATCCATAGAGAACCTACTGGCCTCACTCAAGTAACTACTTGAAAGATCCTGCTTCCAAAGCACTATTTGCTTTTTTATCTTGTATCTGCAAGGCGGCTTGTAAAAGAGCCTGCGGATGCAAGAAAGCAGAACTGAGATGTTCAATGATTTGTGGTGTCTGCAATGGAGAAACTTGTGAAAATATCAGTCAAGCACTAGACGAGTCCGATGAAGAAGACCTCCTTTCGCTACTTGATGATTCTTCATCGATTGCAGAAGGAGAATTCATTTTTTCAATTGAGGTTATTGAAATCAACGAGCCAGGACCGTCTGGCCTTTACCAAAAATAACCTTAGTACCTAAGTGGATTAGGCTTACAGGAGAGACCACAAAAAAATGTGCCTTGTACTTTACTTACCTCTTGGGTGATGTGGAAACAAGCACAGCATTTTAAATATAAATTAATTGGTTAAACATAATTGACATGGATTTATTGATGATTCTATCGATTAATTGAATTGAAGATGTTACTTGATGAATATTTACGAAATTCAGAAATATTTGATTTGGGAACCACTAATACACATATTTTTTCCGAAATTCGCAGAATTTTTAATTTGGCGAAAGCATTTGTGCTTTAAGGTTTTACTATATCAAAAATATACTAGGAACATATTTTAATAGGAAATTTCCGCTAGTCAACAACTCAACAAGCTATAAATATAACGGGAAATCAATTGAATAGCCCAATTTATTATAAAAGATGAATTTAGACGCATAAATGGAGATTATAGATATTAACATAATATGTTGTCATTCAATCAGCTCTTGAGCCTAAACACTCGAAACATTTTTTGGAGAAAATTTTGTTTTCTTCAGTTTTTGTCTTCAAATATTTTTGCAAAAAACGCACAGTTCTGAAGATATTTGCAAAAACCAGTTTTTGGGCGCCATTTTGTGATTCGCATTTGATTATTTAAGGAGAGCCAAAAGATAGTACAACTTTCATATTAGAAGTTTTTTTCCACCTCGTTGAGTTGAGCTCAAGGTAAGGATCTAAGGATCGAAATATAAGCAGGCACCCTGTGCGCACGATATCCTTCGAACATAATAGGGATTTCCTTCCATTCGATCCATGATATTTAGAAAATATTATTATTTCTAAACTAATTCATAATTCATTATAGTCGAGTTAAATAATATATCGATGTTTTATATTAAATTATTGATTTGTCAATATAAGAAGGGAAGGAGATGCATCACGACTTTGGTTGGCTTCCAATTCCGTCAACAAATCTATTTTCACTACGATAAACTATCATTATGAACGCGTCAGAGTCCATTCTAATGCAGATAATAAATTCCTTTCCAAGTCTTCTCCGGAAATTGCTTCCAGTGCCAATTTTTTTAATGATAGCTGTGTAGGAGCCACCCTTCACTATAAAACTTCCCGATTATTGGTCCAAACTCGCATTCACTTGAATCATATTCACCAGTTATACTCACTCACTCATAATACTCAGTTTTCACTAATCAAAGTTTGGAAAATGTGTAGACTTTTCGTGATATTCATTGTGGTGTCTGTTATTGGGTTTAGTGCAGCCCAGATTAACTTCACTCCTAATTGGGGCAAACGATCCCTTCCAAATGAAGTCAAGACAGAAGAGGCATCGAGCAGGGGTAACTACTGCCATGATGTCGATGGCAATGCCATCAAGTTAGTCTACGAGATCTTGAAAAGTGAGGCGAAGAAGCTGGTGGAATGTGAAAGACTATATCGAAGTGATATCCATTGATTATGTTTGGTAGATACGACTGATTAGTATTATCGAATAAAGTGATATCTTCAACTATTTGCCATTTTATTCTTTGATAATTGACAAACACTGTCTGTAGGTTAATCAAGGAGGTGTGCATTCATTTCACTTGATTATTTGGGATCTGGGATAGAAATATGAGTATTATTTCAATATATGTATATGTACATGTCAAGGTATTTATTTTTTTTATCAGAGAGCCTAAAAACAATTCAAAAACTTGTCAGTGACACTTTGACAGAAAAAAAAGAACAATCAAATCACTTCATGATCGAGACAAATCATTATCATCTAGCCAACAAAATTTCAATAACGAAATCCACAACATTGAAAATGTTCCCCAACTCAACTCCTATCCAGAGAACTTCATTGATAGAACGATTCACCAAATTGTAAATAAACGAAATACACCACAACAAAAACAACCATCAACGACGAATATAATATCCTATACATTCCTGGCAAATACATAGTAATATATTGACAAGTGGTAATAAAAAAAAATAGTAATAGTAATAAGACAACGAAAACTACCTTGGTAGTTGAAACACACTTGAAGCCTTGAAAATTAGTGAATAATGGTTGGTTCCAGAGCCAGTCTGGTCGAAAGTTTATCCTTTGTGAAGCAAATTAGAAACTAGAAGTTGAGTAATCGATATTGAGTATAATTTTTTGACATTGTATTATCAGTTATTTTCAATCACATACATTCCGTATAACTGTACAGGGTGTCCCAATTTTGACAGTTATCCCTAGGCCCCGATCGGGTTGAGAAAAAGAGCAAGCCAAGGTTAGTTTAGTTCATCGTACCAGTATATCACCTGACGAAGCTACTGTGTTAGCGAAACATGTCATGTGTTTGAGAAGTTTGTGGAAATCTTATCATTTCTGCAATTTTTACATTATTATTATATGTATACATAATGTGAGAACTTTGAAAGATGCCAGATATTTGTACTGCCAAATCAAACAATTTGGGACATCCTGTACACTAAAGATGCTGCTGAGTAAATAATAACATCTTTTCGAAATCAGTTTCATTCATCACTTTATTCATTATTATGAAATTTTTGTTTTATCAGTGCAGAATGTTTCTATACTTTTTCGTCAATATCTAGATTCATCAATTTTTAGTCAATGTCAATATCGTTACAATAGTGATAGCTTCTTCATAGTTTCATCCGTTCTATTTATCAATTTTTTTATGGTTCTTCCAATTGTGGACTTCTGTTGTTATATGGCCTCTTCTGTAGTTTGTTGGATAGAAATATTCCTGCTACTTGAATTCACCCTGTATCAAAATCTAAGGGGTTGATGTAGATATTCGATGCAGGAACACATCGAATATTTAGATTCGAAGTTTCGTTGTAACTTCTACAAGATGGTCTCTCTAGGTCAACTGAAAGTAAAATTGAAGTTCAACATGTTTCCATCATGATCCATATCTGTTTATAGTCGATGATTCGGAGGAAATATTCTTCAATTTTTATAAATTCATCTCAAATTTTCATTTTATTCCGCCGAAATCGGTATAATATTGTGATCATATCAAATAAAGCATCAACGGCATCAGTATATCTCCTTGCAGTCATTGGAGTGCAACCAATTTAGGAGAGGAAAAGTCATGACGAGAGATCAGTATCAAGGTAGTGTATTATTTGGCCATTTTCAAAAGCTTTCTTTCAACTTGCAATGTATGTAAGTCTATGTTCTACAATATGGGTATCAAATGAAAGGGCTCGTCGAGAGCAACTCGAATAATAATCTGAAGTAATTTGAAATACAGCAAAATGAACGGAGTGGTTTGAATTCTTTATTACTTCTCATTTGAAACATAATTATCATCATTTTTCCTTTTCGGAAATGCAGTATATCAATGGAGAATATGAGAAATCATGATTTTCTTCTGCTTTTTGCCGGAAATGAATTTCATAATCAAGTCGTTGTTGGTGATCTATGGGTTTCAATTGATGGACAAGCTGAATTTTCCGGAATTTTCACTATCGTGAGAGGCCGAGTTGTGTCGAATGTCTCTGAGTGATTTGAGAAATAATGTTTAACGATTTGCGCACGTTATTCAATGTGTTCTGTTCTATTCTGAAATATTTGGAAAATCAATACCTTGAAATTTATAAGGAATTCAAACCCCTTCGTTAATTTAGCACTACCCTTCATGAGGCAATGCCTTTTACGTTTACCACGAATGAGTATTCTATCAATTGAAAATCAGTCAGGTTTCAGATCAGAGTGATACATCGTTGAAGTTCGAATCGATTGCACTTCACAAATCGATAGAAAACTTATAGGGTGTTATTTGAAAAATTTTAGTTGGGGATGTTTTCCAGGGGTAGTTCGACAGAAGTTGCTGTCTTTCCAAGCAGCATAACTGAGGTATTCACTGTATGGAACGATCTGAAACACCCGGTATACCATTTTAGAGGATATTCTGGTTCTCGAAGACAGTAGTGGAATACTCATTGAGAATCAATGTTATTCACTTTCGCAATATTAATAACTAATCGCCACATTCAATTCTGAAGATGCAAAACAATAACCAGATGCCAAGATAATAATCCTTATAACAAAGTCATAACATCCTCTTACTACACATCCTAGTATTTAGTGGCCTTAGATCGTGATCTTGAAGGTCACCTGATCGATCTTCTTATGTAGCACAAATTCACTTTCTATTTGTCATCATATTATTCTATTATTAAACATTGTTGGATACTGAAACAATTTTTGCTGGTCCTTATTGTGATATGGCGTATAATTTGGTGTTCGTTCAATTTACTTAGTTTCCGTGTTTTCAGTTTTGGTGAAAGTAGATAAAGTAACAGTAAATTGCAAGACTTAAGTACCTGTATAAAAACAATAATTAAGCTAGTATACAAGGAACTAGTTCATGTTTCGTGATGGAATGTGTCTAGGGTTATGGGTTCATTACTCCATGTCATCGACATGTATATATTGAATATGAATTTTTGCATTTTTATAACAAAAACAACTGTTACCAAACATTCTTAACATGATAGAAATCGGAAATCCATTTGAAAATTTTCAAAATATGGCAAAGTAATATAATGTCATCCTCAGTGGCGTGCCCAAGATTTTTTTCTGGGGGAGGCTATCAGTTCAATCAATAAATCAATAGTTTCATAGAAAGAAAAACATTTTATTTTTAAAACACTAGAACTAGAGGCCTACAGCTACATATAAAATGTAATTTTTTTTTAGTAGGTAACAAAGAAATCCATATAACATTGTCATATACTTATTGAATTGAAATCTCACTTCGAAATCAAAATGAATAAACTTCAGTAATATCGAAGACTGGAACCTTTGGCACGATAATACACTACACTGTTTTACCACTAACCAAACCGATTTTTTAACGCCTCGACACGTGTTTCGCTAACTATGTTAGCATCTTCAGGAGAAAATTAAAACTAAATATCCTATTCTAGTGTGCTGCTTATATACTAGGTATATGTTCACCCAACTGTGAAAAATACTAACCGTCAAGTTAATGTTTGTCATGGTTGAGTTCACATGTTAATCTAAATTTTTATTTTACTAAACTATATAGAGGGCTATATGGAATAGGTCCATTATCCTTATTCATTACTCTATTACTATTCTTAAATATCTCTAAGCTTTCATATGCGTCTAGTTTTCTAATGTTATTAACTTGCTTAACTAATTTGAGGTTAGTAATATGTGTGTTATGATTGTGATTGAACATATGTTCGGCTACACAAGATTTATCTAACCTGCCTCAAATGGGCTATGTGTTCTTTGAACCTTGTTTGTATGGGTCGCCTGGTTTGGCCTATATATGTTTTATCACAATCATTACAACTCATTTCGTATATTCCCGATTTTTCAAGTGTGTCCACTTTATCTTTCGGATTGCCTAATAAATTGCCTAATTTTGACCCAGACTGATAAACGCTTTCAAAACCTAAGTCTTTGAAAACCTTATCAAGTCCCTTCGTATACTTGGGATTGTACGGGATTGGGATTCTTCTAGAGTTCTTTTTATCCGCTTGAAAAGTCGTAGAATATCGAAGTGTTAACTTAAATTTATGTCTACTTATTAATTTATCTACTATTTTGATATCATACCCATTGACGCCAGCCACTTTATAAACAACATTTCTTTCAGCATCGAATCTTTCTTTGCTGAGAGGAAATGAAATCAATCTGTGTACTGGAAAATTTAAACTTGCCATTTTGTGCTGAAAACAGTGATTGGAGTCATTAGGAATGACATCAAATTCTAAGTTGTTTTCGCTATTTTTGATCACAAGTACATCTAAGAAAGGTAATTTGCCTTGATTTTCGCATTCATAAGTGAATTTGATAGAGGGGAAGCAGTTATTCAATTTTGAAATAAAGTTATCTATATCTGTGGTTTTCGTATCAAAAATAGCAAAAATATCATCGACATATGTCGATGAAAACAACTTAGAATTTGATGTCTTTAGAAAAGAAACTAACACTTTAAGATACATACCTAATGACTCCAATCACTGTTTTCAGCACAAAATGGCAAGTTTAAATTTTCTAGTACACAGATTGATTTCATTTCCTCTCAGCAAAGAAAGATTCGATGCTGAAAGAAATGTTGTTCATAAAGTGGCTGGCGTCAATGGGTATGATATCAAAATAGTAGATAAATTAATAAGTAGACATAAATTTAAGTTAACACTTCGATATTCTACGACTTTTCAAGCGGACAAAAAAAACTCTAGAAGAATCCCAATCCCGTTCAATCCCAAGTATACGAAGGGACTTGATAAGGTTTTCGAAGACTTAGGTTTTGAAAGCGTTTATCAGTCTGGGTCAAAATTAGGCAATTTATTAGGCAATCCGAAAGATGAAGTGGACACACTTGAAAAGTCGGGAATATACGAAATAAGTTGTAATGATTGTGATAAAACATATATAGGCCAAACCAGGCGACCCATACAAAC